ATAGTGTAAAAATTCTAAAAGTATTTGTGCAAATATAGTCATGATTTTTTTAATTTTTTTAGAATGAAAATAATAAAATTAGAGAGCATTTAATCTAATATTTTATGAAAGAAAATAAATTTTTGATGTAATTTACTATTAATGAATAGTACATTTTTTTTTTAAAAAAATATATATAAATAAACAATGTCTTATTTTTTGTGTTTACATAAGTTTATTTTTTGTAATCTTAATATCAATATATATCTTATAATAAATCTAAATTATATGATGTCACTTTCAGTTCAAATATTAAAATTATTATGTTTATAAATATAACTATTGAAACGATGTATTTGTGTCTTAGTTTTGAATAATAAGGTTTGAATTAATTTTTTTTTATATAATACAATTAGATAATAATATTATATTTTAATTTAACTGTTATAAAAATAAATATTTAAATTATTATTCTTTAGGAAAAAATAATAATTAGAATCTAGGATTAAAAACTCACAAAGAAACACTAAAATTTTATTAGAAATTTAATCGGTGGAAATACAGATAAAAAATAAAATAAAATAAAAAGTGAAGATAAAGTTGCTAGAGAATAAAGACAAAAGAAAAAATAAAACACAATAAATAATTTGTTTTCATAAATATTAAATGAAAAGTAAGGAAAAGGTTAGGACTCGTAAAATACAAAAACAATACAAAGTCTTTATTAAAAATAGTATGTGTTAGTATTGTTTGTAATAATAACATGTGTTGTTTGTTTATAATTACACGTGTGTTGTACAAGTGTATGTCATGTGCTGAAATGAACTGTTGCACGTGCAATATGAAACTATATCATGTGTTGTTAGTTCATGTGTTGTGTTTGTATTATATGAATATAAATGATGTGTTGTCACTGTCACTAACATTACCGTGTGCGATTTGCTAGCTATCTGTTGTTAGTTCATGTGTTGTGATTTGTGTTATATTAATACAAATAATATGTTTGTTACTAATATTTGCTAATTATATGTGTATTGTTCAACACCGTAGATGCCGCCGAAAAGTATATTCTAAAAAATTGTATATTCATTAATATATTATTAATTTTAAATAAGGACATACTTGTCATTTAATATTTTAATAAAAATTATTATTATTAAAATTTTGCTTTCTGCCTAGGCAGAATCTACCCAGCAAGAGTTAGGGTATGTTTGTTCGGGGGTTTGGATTCTAAGTTGGGATTTGAATAGTAAAAATTTTGAATTTGAATAGTTGTATGATGTGATATAAATAGATGTTGATGTGATATTTTGAATGTAAAATTAATTTTTAGTATAAGATAGAAAATGAAAAATGGGTGTTTGATTTGATGTTTTTGGAGGGAAAAAATTGGATGAATAGTAGAATTTTGTTGAAATTCTACAAACGAACACACCCTTAGTGTATTGAAAATGAATTTTGCCAAAATTAGTGATACGACTAAATTTAACAAATGAGCTGAAAAAAAAAAAAAAATTTGACGAACAAATGTAATACATGTTATAATTTGTGTTAGGATATAATCAGGTTTCATATCCCAACAATCTCCCACTTGAAAACTGATTTCATCTTCCACTTCAACATACCTCATCCAATCTCCACTCCCCACCATTCGGTGTTCTGATTCGAATCATTCCTTTACCTACGATTTTCAGTGTCTCATCATCTGTAAAATAGACAACACCAAAATTACCTGTGGTATAGGATTCCATGATTCCCGAATCACTGCATGAGTGGAATGACGCTCTTGAGACCAAAATCCATGACTCCATTGGACTGCTGACGCTCAGAATCAGTGCATCGGATATCTCCTCCATTGCATTTGCTGAACCCTGATCCTTCTCAAGCGCCCTGCACTGTCGTTTCAAGTGTCCATTGCACTTCCAATATACCACCTGACTTGCATCTTCCTTGTCCTTATTCTTCGACTTCAACTTTGACCATTCTTGATCTTCACCATTTTCTTTTGCCTCAAATCTAAATTCAATCGAGACATTCTCCCAAAGGGTTAGTCGAACTGCACTCATCGTCTTCCTGTCGATCTTCTTGTATCCGGCTTCATCCATGTTTTCGGATTTCTCCCTCAATACCGCATCTAGATCTTTACCATACATGTAATCTTCTATCCGCATATTTTAGAAACCGAAGTTCATACCATCGAATACCTTGACATGACGATCACCCATCTTGACTCCCAAAAACAAACCCAAGGCTCACTTGATATGAGAGCACATTGGATATTCCGCTGCGTTTGCCGAAACCCTTATCCTTCCCTACCAACCTTGCACCGCCTATCACAAAGGGACTCGCTGCCTGACCTACCAGTCGGGACCGACCCAACACCGCCAGGAGACTTTCGACACAAGGCACCTCCGCAGGTCACAAGGGATTCCCACAACGATTCAACGTACGATTCCTCTCAATCCACCCTATCAACGAACTAGGCTCTGATACCACTTGTTACGGAAATTTTCAGGAAATCAAGATGAAATAAAAAAGACAAAAGAACACAAGATTTGGTAACCCAGTTCGATCACGATGATCTATGTCTGGGGGCGCTGCCAAGCCAGAAATTTTACTATAAAGTACTACGCAGGCACATGTTAAAGTGAGAATGCATGGATATTTATAGCCTATGCCTATGATAATAATATCCAAATAATATCCCTAGATTTTAGGATATAATCAGGCTTCATATCCCAACAATCTCCCACTTGAAGACTGATTTTATCTTCCACTTTAACATACCTCATCCAATCTCCACTCCCCATCATTCGGTGTTCTGATTCGAATCATTCCTTTACGTACAATTTTCAGTGTCTCATCATCTATAAGATAGACAACACCAAAATTACCTGTGGTATAGGATTTCATGATTCCTGAATCACTGCATGAGTATGAGTGGAATGACGCTCCTGAGACCAAAATCCATGACTTCATTGGACTGTTGACGCTCAGAATCAGCGTATCGGATATCTCCTCCGTTGCGTTTGCTGAACCCTGATCCTTCTCCGGCGCCCTGCACTGTCGTTTCAAGTGCCCCTTGCAGTTCCAACATACCACCTGACTTGCATCTTCTTTGTCCTTATTCTTTGGCTTCAACTTTGACTTGATCTTTACCCTTTCCTTTTGCCTCAAATCTAAATTCAGTCGAGACATTCTCCCAAAGGGTTAGTCGAACCGCACTCATCGTCTTCCTGTTGATCTTCTTGTATTCGGCTTCATCCATGTCTTCGGATTTCTCCTTCAATACCGCATCTAGATCTTTATCATTCATGTAATCTTCTATATGCATATTTTAGAAACCGAAGTTCATACCATCAAATACCTTGACAACATGACGATCACCCATCTTGACTCCCACAAACAAACCCAAGGCTCACTTGATATGAGAGCACATCTCTGATATCTTTTCCGCTGCGTTTGCCGAAACCCTTATTCTTCCCTGCCTACCTTGCACCGCCTATCACAAAGGGACCCGCTGCCTGACCTACCAGTCGGGACCGACCCAACACCGCCAGGAGACTTTCGACACAAGGCACTTCCGCGAGTCACAAGGGATTCCCACAACCACAATCAATATCCGATGCCTCCCAATCCACCTTACCAACGAACCAGGCTCTGATACCACTTGATACGGAAATTTATAGGAAATCAAGATAAAATAACAAAGACAAAAGAACACAAGATTTGGTAACCCAGTTCGATCACGATGATCTACGTCTGGGGGCGCTGCCAAGCCAGGAATTTTACTATAAAGTACTACGCAGATACATGTTAGAGTGAGAATGCATGGATATTTATAGCCTATGCCTATGATAATAATATCCAAATCATATCCCTAGATTTTAGGATATAATCAGACTTCATATCCCAACAATTTGTAAAATTATAGTGTCCTAATATTATCGTAATTTGAGGCGTATATGAGCATTTGTCGTAAATGAATAAGAATGGATATTATCGATATCATGATATTTTCTCAATAAAATTTATTTTGAAAATTATAATATTATTACTTTCATTTATTGTAAAGACTTAATTACAAATAAGAGCAATCCAAGTTTATGAGTATCGTCAATATGTCGATATTTTTTCGACATAAATTAATATATTTATCATACTAACATTTTTGCAGACGAGTAAAAAAATCTACAAGCCACACTAAGTCACAATGATGTTAGCAACAAGTTTTTTTAATTTACATACCTATCTTTTTGAATTTTTATTACTATTGTTTTATCATGGTTTGAAATTGAATTAAAATGTTGTGTTGAGTTGATTTTTTTTTAATAATATTTTAATGCGATATTTTGTAAAAAAATAATTTATTTTTATCCAAAAACCGTGTAAAGTGAATAAGACTCTCTCAATCTTGATTGAGATAGCTCTTATACAGTATGTAAGTTTATGAAATTTAATTAGTTAATAATATTAAATTCAAAATATTATTTTATATCATATTTACGGAGTGAGATATCAAAATATTATATTCATATAACACATTTTTATTACATTTAATAATTATTTTATAATATATTCATAAGAACCAAAAGAAATCATTGAACCAAAATTGCATGGATAAAATGATATATATATATATATTTACTCGTTTATATTATAATATCTTTTTATTTATTTATTTATTTTTTTTATTTATTTATTGTATCCCTCCGTCACACATAAATTTTTCATAATTTGTTGTTTTATTTTTTTAAAAATATAATTATACTTTTAATCGATATTTTAAATTTCATAATTTATAATTTTTTTAATTTTAAATTATTTAATTATTTTAATTTTAATCTATAAATACTTTTTATTATATAAGTAATTATTTTTACTAAAATTACTTATTAATTATACTTTACCTAAATTCTAGTAACCATTATATTGAATATATTTGGTTGAAGCATAATTTCCAAAACATTCCAAAAACACATTTTACATTTATATATATATATATATATATATTACATCGGCCAAAAAACATCTCATAACATCCCCTTAATAAAAGAAAATCGAACTTTCAACTACACCAATTTGCAACCAAACACACCCTTGGAGAATTATCCATACAATCTATATCCAAAACATTTTGATAGTCACTGTTCCTATAAGAATGATTTGATCTCACCTTCTTCAATCCAAGCAACCAAAGAAAGCATAAAAAATGTTCTTCAATTTCTCTCCAAGTAGGTTTATTGTTGCTTCACTTGACCTTGAACTCCTTGCCTAACATCCTTCCAATGCTTATTAAATTTCCTTCAAAAAAATAAATTGCATATTCTTTTTAACAAAATCATATTCGAGATACAAGAATCATCGAATCCAGATGCATAGAGTTAGAACACATAGCAAGCTTTGCAGCTGCTACGAGCTTTTTACCATCATCGAGTCTGAATCTCCAGCAAAGCTCATTTTAATACAAGAATCAGTTTATATATGAAATTCAACTACCCTCAAATTCAGATTCACATTTCTTTTTTCCTTTTTACCTTGTAGAGCAGCTTACCATCAAAAGAGTGAAACAGTTTTACCATACAAATTCAAGTTAAAAAGCCACTCATCCGAATATTCTACTGACAGTATGGCTTTAGTAACTAGGAATTGTTATTCTAGTCGCAACAGATTCGAACATAATGCTGCACAGCAAACAAACTTCAAGCTCCAAAAGTCAGTTTAGTAATTAGGATTCTTGTTCTAGGCATAACAGAGTCGAATATCAGCAGTGTATAGAAGAAAATTCAAGCTCTAAAACTTAAAATATTTCACCCGCTGCAATCCAAATTGGTATTGAAAGAATGCATAGGCATGCAAAAATGAGAAGAAGAATGTCGAAAAAGCACAATTTCAAGATGCATCATTTTTATGATTACCAATAATATTGTCACGGGAACCACCATTTTGCCACATGGCCTGGTTGAGTTGATAAACAACCTTTGTGATTTGATAGCTTCTTCAAGGAGCGGCCAGATTTACTGTACTATTAAGACGAAAAATAGGAATTGATAAGTGAAGTGGGAAAGACAAAAACTTTAGCAATAAGAAGACACAGTTAACTTTTGTTCTGCAAGAGAAAAATTCAACAACCTTCCAGTCATGTCGGAGCCAGTTCTTGCATTTCAAGGTGGTGGCTATTTTGACACTATTCATCAACAGTAATTTGTTCAAAATACATATCACCGTATCAGATTGGTGCCCACATGAAACTTTGAAAACAAAATGCCAAACAATAAAACATGACCAACCCAGAACAATGATGCAACCCTCAATTTAACCCCACCCAAGTTATCTCGAATGGGAAGGAGCAAGAGTCGCATTGATGGGGATTGGAATGGTGAAAGCAATGGGCTGAGGAGGATGCTGCAGAGCGGCAAAAAGGAAGGAGCATCTTTGATGGAAAAGGGGCGGTGACTGCAAGATCTAAATTGAGAAGACAACAACAACAACAACAACAAGCTCTAAAGAAGGTGGCAATGGTGGTGGAGACGATGGTGGTGAAATAAATTAGGATCACAAAGACTGACCATAGAGAATTAGCTCTGATATCATGTTATTCTGTAAAACAGGATTCTCTATTTTGATTTATAAAAGTACATATTTATAGTGCAATACAAAATTTTCTAAATAAGTTTAGAATATTACAAATATCTTAAATAAGGCCCGTACCATAATTACAGAAGCTACAAGAAAAATACTTCCACTCATTAATAAACTTCAAACTTCCAACCATTAAAATATAAAGATAAACCTAGACAATATTTGATGCTCACAATGAATTCCTTTCTGTACAACTTAAAGATCAAATCTAACCACTAATGTCGAGTGAAGGCCACATATTGTGAATTATACAGGTAGGCACAAGAGAATAAACTTAAATTCGAACACAGCTGCAAAACATTGCTGTGATGTTTCTTTTCTAGATTTGGTACTCTAAAATCATTAAAAGTGTTCCTTTTTATTTTCTTGGTACCTTAATGACATACTCTGTAATCCACAGGTAGCACCAGTCACCACATAAGAATGCAGATGGAGTTGCTGTAGGTGCAAGAAGTCGGCACACCAGTGGCACCCGGTGGATGCATGGTGCCTTAAAGATGTCCAGCGTACGGTTGCATAGTTAGGAGGATTTCTCTCTTCCTTGGGTTTTTCCATCTTCATACTTCAATCCTCCACATGATATTTAAAGTTGAAACAACACATCTCACCATTCAACGTGAACTTCACAGTAGCTGTGCTGCACATGATAAGTATATATATGGTGAGATTCATTCGGTACCTTCATAAGATTCTAAAATAAGGAATTTTTGTTAAATATAATAAGAATGATGTGTTTACCTCACTTTAGCACAAGCTTTCACTGTTTTTTCCCTGAATCGTTTTAGTTCTTCAACAATAATGGGAGATAAACCCTTTAGATGGATAGCACCCTAAAAGTTCTCTTCTGAAATTCTACAAGCTGAAAAGCTCGTAATCCTCTTTAAGTCACCTGTGCCTATGTTGGATTCCTTCGTAACAATCGGCTCCAGCATCAGATATCACGAGCTGCAAATAGCTCTAAGCAAGATTGCATCCAGAGCTAAGATTTTAAGTCCATATTACTTGTATTGCTGCATTCCGCACTCGATAGTTACCAAGAAAATGGAGGATTGGCATTCTCGAATGGTCCGGTGGCTGAGGACCTGTCGACTCACACGAGGACAGGGCTATAACCTTCGTTAAATGTTAAAGTAAACGGAGGATGATAATTTGAACGAACACATGCGTCAGTCAGTCAGCCAGAAGCCCAGCTCTCTTCGACCCAATTGTTTTCTGCATTGCATCAATGATGTATTTGCATGTGAGTCGATTCGGTGCAAATCCAAGTTTCACCATCCTATCTTGGAATGCCATCAACTGTGCAGGATCGCATTCCTCAGAAAGTACCCTAACAAGCGCATTATAACATTCAATGTCAAATATTTGCAATTCCTTACCGTAGAAAATCAACAATAATTCTGCTTCGTCAAAATTTTTCTCTTTGCACAACCCATTCACCAACACTCTGCAAATTTCAACGTCTATGGTCAGTCCCAACTCAACCATCTCCCGCATTAGAACCAAAGCCTCCTTGCATTTTCTCAATTCAACCAAACCTCTAATAATAGCTTTATATGAACTCAAATCCAATTTCATATTCTTTGTTATCATCTCCGCTTTCATTTCCAATGCCTCCTTCACAAAACTTGTTCGACAAAGAGAACAAACCAGCTCATTATATAATTCCTCACTCGGAAAATAACTCTTCTCATACATCTGTCCCATAAGAGATTTTGCTGCAAATGGACGATCCTCCCTGCATAAAGCAAGAATCAGGTAACAATAGACATCTTGGGATATTACAACACCAAACTGCGCGAGCTCCTGCACAAGATTCAAAGCAGATATCATCCTGTCCGTATTCTTATATCCTTTCACAAGCATCCAACAAGTAAAATCATCCGGCCAAACCCCATTCCCAATCATGTCAAACAACACAGCTCTAGCTTCCTGCATCATCCCATCCTTGCAATATCCATACACAAGAGTATTGTATGAAACGACATCCGGCTTCAACTCCTTATCAACCATCACATGGAACAGCCTATGAGCTTCCTTCACACTGCCGCTCTTACATAATCCGTTGATCAAAGATGTGTACGTAATAACATCAGGAACTACCCCTCTCAGACCCATGATGTTATACAAACGAATGGCGTCCTTCATCCGCTTTTTCTTACAATATCCATTGACAAGCATGTTGTATGTTACGATGTCAGGATCGAATCCTTCTTCCTCCATCTTCTCCAAAAACACATTCACCTTATCCACATCACCCTCCTTACACAACAAGTGAGTCAATATATTGAAAGTGCACGCATTTGGACGTAATCCAATCCTCCTCACTTCTTCATATGCTTCCCAACATTTTCCTATACAGTTCATCCTTGAAAGTCCACTTAGAAGACAATTAACAGTCACAATACTCGGAAAAAAGCCTTGCTTCGCCATTTTCCTGAAAGTTTGAAAGCTTTCTTCCACCATACCACATCTTAGGTAAGCCTTGATGAGCATGTCAAACACAGTAGGGTGCCAATTGCAGCCATGTCTACTTAAAAGCAAGGATTCATACACATCCACGAATTGCACTAATTCTAACAGGATTGCCATTGCTGGCTTGTAGTTTTTGGACCAAACTAAGATATGAATCATGATGCAGGAATTTTGCACATTCGATTTCAACCCTAAATTTTTTCTTACCCAATTGAAGAACGCAAAGGATGCGGATGGATCGGACTGGCTTCTCAACAAGATCGTCGAGAATTCACTGTTGGTGAAATTGAGGAACAATCCTTGCTCCTGGAGATAGCCCCAAATTGTTCGATCCTTTCGCTTGAGGGATGCGCAGACGACGGGAACGACATTGTTGGGATTCTGGGTTTGGGGGAGGAAATTGTATATTGGATTGGTGACAGGTTTATTGTTTGGTGTTGTTTGGATTGGTGCTGCTAGGGCTAGGGTTGAGTGATTTCTGAGGTTCCATAGAAGAAGACATCGAGCTGTAAAAATTGATTCTGCAAATTGGGGCAAGCGAATGCCGGATTTCAAATACGGGCTCATCACCGAATATCAGTCTTGATTCAGAAGAAAATCAGTCGCCATTGAATCATTGATGGAGCTCGAATCTTGGAGTCGTTTGGCTGAGTTGCTGTGGTGAACAAGCAGGTTTCAGGCTTTCAGCTATGCAGAATTCAATCGGAGAAGCCCTGTGTTGGTGTGTCGGATTTTTTGAGTTTGAATTTTAAAATATTAAAATTTTGGGAAAAAATCAAAAGAGTAATTTTGGGCTTGTTCTTTAGGTAAAAGTAATAATTTGTACAAAAATAACAATATAATAATAAAATATGAATATTTGTATAAAAGAATTGAAGTATTCAAATAAATATAATAATAAAATATGAATATTTGTATAAAAGAATTGAAGTATTCAATTAAATAATTATTTTATAATTGAACAAAATGTATTAACTTTCTACTGAAATGAGAGAGTATATTTGAAACAAAAAAAATATCAATTTTGATTTTAATAGTATAATCTTTTTATTAATTATGGATATTTATAATTAATTTTAATTTTACAATTACATAAATTAAGGTCATCTCCATCTCCAATTTTCAATTTTATTTTTTGCAAAATTTATATAGTAAAAATACAGTTGATAGTTGATGTACAGTAATTTTATTTCAATCATAAATTTCAATTTTCATTCTAAAAATATATTCTGTATGTATTCTTTTTTATATTATTTATAATTTTTTATATTTATAAATTACACTCTAACATTAATTTATTTTTACATTATAATTTATACATATATAATTTATATTTTAAAAAAGTAAAATTATATATTACTTTTAAAAAACGGCTAATTGGAGTAAAGTCCCTATTTGCCTATTCAACTTGAAATTCAGTCCCCATTACATAATTATTTATCTGCACTCCCTACTTTACATGTTTTCTCATGCTTGACTCCCTATCGTTCTCTAATCTTTTTTATACCCTCAACCGTTATCTTCCTCGTTTAACTTACCTTTCACCAAATCAGTTTTTCTTTCGCGCGATTTTCAGGTGCTTCAACGGCCGGTTTCATCGTATTTTTTCACTCCCGCGACGAAGGTATTGCAAGTATTCTTCCAAGGATCTTTCTCCTCTATTCCCTTTAAATTCCCAACAGGGATCTCGTTCCCAAATAAACTCTGATTTCATCGTACTATTAGTCACAATGAACTCTTATTTGAATACAAAGGAAAATTTTTTGTGGGATTTAGGTAATTTTTCTCAATTTTTAGTCATACTTTGTTTTCCCTACCTCTTACCTAAAAGACGGGATGAATATTTGAATGATGCACTTCATATGCTCGATAAAATGTCCCAAAAGAAGATCTTGTTCCAACATAAGATAATTTAATAATTTTTTGTTCAAAAATTGTTGGTTTGCTAATATCATTATAGATGGTGAGGGGAACTTGTTATTTTTTTTTTTTGTACAATTGATTGGTTTTGATGGAAATTGATGAAAACGTCAAAATTGCTAATTTATGTAGCTCGTTTGCTTCTCAATGAATTTCTCAAGCACAAATTTTATTATGTCATTTAGAAAGGTTGAGATCCGGCTCCAAATTGCCTGAAGAACATTAATTTTCTAGTAAATAAATATATATAAATAATTGTGCCATAATTTTTACTTTTGTTAGTTGTTGTTAATTGTATTTTAAAGGACAAAGAAAGAATATGTAAACAAAATACATGTGAATTTATATTCAAAATCAATTCAAAGATATGAAATCATAGAATTTCTAAATGCACTTTAATCTTCAAGAAACTATTGAAATCTCGTTTTGCTTATTAATCTTCAATTCCTGGTGAAAATCAATGACATATTTTTTTTTTAAGGAGCATTTATATTTGTAGAAGAAAGCTCAGAAAGGTAGTAATGTAGAAAGTTTAAAGGAAGATATTGTATTAGTTTCTAGTAATTTTCAATGAACATTCTCTGTTATTATAAATGATTTTACCTTGCTCTTTCTTGACTCTCTATATTTTGAGTTGCAAGACAGATTAGTTGAAATTGAATTGGTGGGTGCTAATCTATACTAATTGTAAAATCAAATGGAAGAAAGTCATTTCCATTTTATGCATTGAGGACCCTTTAGCCATAAACCTTTTGCAGACCACTTAGTATAAGTAAGCTAATGATTCGATATTTGTTTTGTCTAAGATTCGTTGTAGCCGTCTCGAACACAAGAAGAAGTTGTAAAGAGCAGGTATCATAGACCTTTTAAAAGTGTATATATATATTTTTTGTCTAGGATGTCACTTTTAGCATTTAATTACTTTTGACGTGTTGGATATAGTGTAATGATGTAGGTAAAAATACAACAAAAATAGCCTGGTTGGATAGAACCAAAATTGTAATTTGGATGTACTATTGTATATGAACACAAATAATGGGCATGTGATAGTCCTTTTTATGTATGATAGTTTGATGACACAAGTTTCTGAAAATGTAATAGGGGTACACAAATTATTTGGGAGAGTATTTAGTTGATGTCTCAATGCACGTTGGCATAGTAGTGAATTATCACTCAAATTTTTTGTGGACATAAATGCACGGTCCATGAATGAGCAACAAAATATCCCTCTCTGATGCACGATTGGGTACATGTATGTTGTTATTTTATTATACATACTCAGTATAGTAGAATGGGTATCTCCTATTTCATTTGTGCAACCAGACCGTCAAAAGAAATGACGCATGACTTCCAGCAGATAAAAAATTCACGAAAATGTGATCCTTGTGGTTTTCGGGCTCAATAGAAACATGTGTAAAGCTGCAGTACCGTAGGCCTTTTGAGGTATAATTTTTGTTTTTGTCCTGAACGTCCTTTTTGGTGTGTAATTACCTTTGGCATGATTGATACAATGTAATGAGGTAAGTAAATATACAATAGCAAGATTCCAGTTGTATAGAACTGCTGTTATAATTTGGATGTTTTGATGATACATGAACAAGAACAAAAACAATGGGTATGTGACAGTTCTCGTTTGTGTATGATAATTCAATGACACAGGTTTCAAATAAATGAACACAAGCACATGAATTATCTGGGGGTATTTAGTTGATCTCTCGAAGCACGTCTAATAGTAGTGTACTACTATCCAACAATGTTAGCGTGGTCTTGATAAGTAATGATCTCTGTGGCATAAAGTACACGAACATACTGTGTTGCATCATGTCACATCCATTAAAAACATACATATGAGGATTAAGACTTAATCTATTTTGGAATCTATCAATATCCTAACTCCTCACTGGCACTAAAATGGAGCTATGAAGGTACATAATTCAAAGACCTGGCATAAGATTAGCTGTTCAGTTACACGCAAGACTGCAGGAGGTACAAGTACTAAGATTTTGTACACCATGCGAGTTTGGGGGTATGGAAGATCCGCTCTGGAGCACTTGCCCACCTAGCTGAGTCATGCACTATGCAAGTATGCCCCTCACCGAATGTTGTTGTGTATGGAACGGTGTAGATTAATACGTAATAGGTTTAACAATTTTCAATTTATGAAAACAATCATTTATACTAACAACCAACATAATTAAATTTACTCACTTATGACTTATTTAGCCATCTACAAGTGAAGGTATATGATTATACATATATCATACAACTTAACTAGTTATTTATGAATTGTTTAACCATCAATAGTAAATATGTGTTGTTTATCTTTTCATACACTTTGGGGTGTCGCGGGAAACATTACCATGGTTGAACTCATTCATGATTACCGTCATTAAGTGAATATTTCAAGTGAAAAGATCAGTTCTCCAGCCATAGGTTACCAGGGCATATGCAATCGTAATTGAAGTATATTTTATTGTTATTGTAGGTACATAATATCTTATCTAGGGCATCTACATTTATTATTTCAGTATGTAGCCATGTGATCCAAGTACAAACCTCGATATAAGAGGTATAAATAATGATTTCATAAGCATTAGATTTGTAGTACCAGGTATCCTCGAATGTAATTTATTTAAGTCAATCCTACACATAGGGTCCAATGCGGAAATTCGGTGAGTGCACTTCTTCTCTCAACCCTAGTGGACCGAAGATTGGTTTGTGTGTTACGGTGTGTATTACTAGGTAATAGGTCTAAATAACCAATCATTCCATGGGAGCAGTGGTATATGAGTAACAATCAATATATGTAACACCCCCAGTTGGCTCATACTGGAAATGCTACCGCCACACTGCATCATGAGGTCGTCACCTCCTACTTCGGGCCCCACAACACAGTGTTAAGGCTAAAATTAATTATATAAGCATTTTATTATTCCCAAAAAAAAATAGTTTATAAATATTTACAAAAACATACTCCCAAAACGGGAGGTTTTTCTAGTTAGAATTTACATATAATACATCAGATGCAGTTCACTCATTCAGCCCGTCTTTCTATCTCCCGAGACGTCCCCTGTCCCGGAGGTGCCATGCGTACCTGAATCAAATATTTTTCTTAAAAGCAGTCTAGAATTAAATCCATTTTAAGAACTAACATAAAATATGCCATGTCATGCTCGAAAATAGAGTTTAATTTCCGTCATTTGCAAAATAAATGTCATGCCATGCCCATACTGAAATAATGTAACAATAATGTCAAAATCGACAACTCATGCACATATACCCATATACATATGTCAAAGTGAGCAGCCGGAATAACCTCGGCTCCATAATAACAGCTCACTAGACTATCATCAATAAATAGCCGGAAAATCCTCGGCTCAAGGAAGGACCTGGTAAACCCATAATAATATAACGGTCACCCGGTCACTCCCATATACCCACCATACGACTCCCGCAATCAATACATGGATAGTCGAACGTTGTCGCCATTAACCACAAGACACCCCATAGTCTGTGATAGCGAAGATAGGACCCTCCTGTCTAGCCCTACCCCGTGTAACGTAGTAGAATCCGTGCAACCTGGAATCACCCGAAGGAAACCCGGAAACTCTACTCCTCCTCGCACGCCCTAACGGGATCGCGTTTGGAGTTTGGCATCTGATCCTAAACTACCGGTAGACCTCACTAGTAGCTACTCCAATGAGTGGAACAACACCGAACCCGAATGATTAGACCAAATACGTCTCAACTGCAATGGGTCTAATCCCTGAATGACCGTGCGACTAAGTCACCCAGTTGCCCGACTACTATCGTCCACTATCGCCAAAGTGTTACGGTACATCGGGGTCGAATATCCTAACCCCAGATGATGCCCTCGCCTAGCACTACCGCACACGGCGACTAAACGATAGATCCATAAAACATATCCGATAAATCGTGCAATGTGTGCAGCATGTCAATAAGTGAATTTAATGAAAAGGGCTGGTGAGACGGCCCACCTATCCTCCTTTTTATAAATTCACCAACACGATCAAATACGTATATCAAATATCGTAAAACGAAGTTTCACACATGCATATACACACACATATATACATATATAGATGCACTGACCAAATGATTCCACATAATATCATATCAATATCAGAATCAGAATCACATGCAACATAAATACCTAATTTCTTAAAATTAGATTTAATTCCCTACTGCTTACCTCCTACCGATACTTTCTGGATTTTATAACTTCACCCAAATCTCCTCCAACGTACACATGTCCCATTATTTACTCAAATCAGATGAGCTTTATGCTTATTCTCAGGAGCTACCTGCTTATTCAAAAGCTAATTTCTATAATTAACTCGTCGGGCTCCAAACTTTTATATTTAGTAGAATATGATATTCTAGCTATAAAATCCTTCTACCTCATAATATTTATATTGCCCGATTATTAAATAAAAATACGCAAAGGTATGAACAAGCAGGCAGGTGCGATATACTGCCGTTTTTTTATTCGACTTGGATTGGTACGAAATTCTCAAAATATAATGTCGGCGCTACGAATAGGCTATTAGCTAAAGAAATTCATCGATTAAATAGCTAAATAGCCAATTTTGAATTTTTGAAGAATTTCTAATTTAATACTCCAATATCAAAATTCGTATTAAAATTTATAATCGGACTCTACGAATAGCAAGGAATACCATACCCAAGTCGGAATTGGAATCGGACGGCTAAATCTTTTTCTTTCTTTTTTTTTTTTTTTTCTCTTTCTCCTTCTTCTTCCTCCCTTCCTTCTCCTCCTTTGGTTCGTTGCTGCTGCTGCGTTGGATTCTTTCTTTCTTTTCATATTATATATATATATTATATTATTATTATTATTAAACGTAATATATTATTATTATTATTAAACATTATATATTATTATTATATTATTATTGTTATTAACGATGATGATAAGGTTCTTATCATCATCTACTATATTATTATTATATATATTATATTATATATTATATATTATATTTATATTTATATTTATTTTTAATTTTATCGATATTTATCCATTTAACAGTCTATTTAATTATAACTAATATATAAAATTGGAATATAATTTATCCCAAAATATTAGTTTCTTGATTCCATTACTATTGTCAAATATTTATTTGCTATAATAATATTATTTTATACATTCCGAAATCAGGGCATTACAATCCACTCCCCCTTAAAAAGATTTCGTCCCCGAAATCTAAACTCAAACACATAACAAGGCAACTTAATTAAACAATTGTGGGTATGCTTTGAACATTTCTTGTTCTACTTCCCACGTGGCCTCTTCCGCTCCATGTCTGGACCACATTACTTTCACCATACGAATATCTCGATTCCTCATGGTTCGGACCTTTGTGTCCATGATCCACAGAGGCTTTTCTTCATACGAAAGATCTTCATTCAGCTCTATCTCATCTGGAGATAAAATATGAGAAGGATCTGCAACATACCTACGAAGCTGAGATATATGAAACACATTATGGATACGCTCCATAGAATTTGGAAGTGCCAACCGATAGGCCCAATCACCAACTCGATCGACAATTTCATAAGGTCCAACATAACGCGGACTCAATTTTCCTTTAATCCCAAACCTTCTAATACCTTTCATTGGGGATACTTTCAATAAGACAAAATCTCCACTTTGAAATTGACCCTCACGTCGGGCTCTATCGGCATAACTCTTTTGACGATCTTGAGCTGCCTTCATCTTTTCTCTGATAATTCGAATCTTATTTTTCGATTCCTCAATCATTTCCGGACCCAGTATCAGTCGATCACTCATATCGTCCCAACTCAAAGGAGTTCTGCATTTTCGACCATAAAGAGCTTCAAAAGGAGCCATTCCGATACTTGCTTGATGGCTATTATTATATGAAAATTCCACTAAATCCAAGTGGTCTTCCCAACTCCCTTGAAATTCCATAGCACAAGCTCTTAGCATATCTTCCAGAATACGGATAGTTCTTTCTGACTGACCATCAGTCATAGGATGGAATGCAGTACTCATATGCAACTGAGTACCAAAGGCTTCCTGCAATTTTTGCCAAAATCGAGATTGAAAACGTGGGTCACGATCTGATATGATCACCTCAGGAATACCGTGTCGTTTAACCACATAATGAACATATAATTTGGCCAATTTCTGCATACTCCAAGTCATACGTACTGGAATGAACACTGCTGACTTGGTCAATCTGTCTATAATTACCCAAATTGCATCTGTTCCCGACTTTGACCTTGGAAGTCCTGTTACAAAATCCATTGCGATAGAATCCCATTTCCAGAGTGGAACTTCTAAAGGTTGTAGCAACCCCATTGGTCTATGATGTTCTGCTTTTACCTTTTGACAATTTAAACATCGTGCAACAAATTTGGCTACATCCTTCTTCATGCCCTTCCACCAAAAATGTTGACGTAGGTCATGATACATTTTATTTCCCCCCGGATGCACTGAGTATGGTGTATTATGAGCCTCACTCATAATCTGCTCTTTCAAATCATTTCGATCCTTTGGGATACACCACCTCCCGTGAAATCGAAGACTCCCATCTGGAGCAATATTAAAATTTTGAGTCTGACCGTACTGAACTTTCACTGCAAGCTCAACCATTTTATTATCTTCCATTTGAGCCGCTCTAATGCGATCATAAATTTCAGGCTCAACTTGTATCATTTGCAAATATCCCCGAGTCATACCCCGTCCAAGTACCTCAATTTCCATCCGCGCTAAATCTTGGCACAGTTCATCAGCAACCGACATGAAGCCCAAGTTATGCCTTGGTTTTCGACTTAAGGCATCGGCTACAACATTTGCTTTGCCTTCATGATACACAATTTCAAGATCATAATCCTTCACCAATTCTAACCATCTTCTTTGTCTTAAATTCAATTCTTTTTGGGTGAAGATATATTTCAAACTTTGATGGTCAGTAAATATTCTGCAATGGGCTCCATAAAGATAGTGTCTCCAAATCTTCAAAGCAAACACCACTGCTGCCATTTCCAAGTCGTGTGTCGGATAATTCTCTTCGTGAGGTTTTAGTTGTCGTGATGCATAAGCAATAACTCTTTGATTCTGCATTAAGACACATCCCAATCCCTGCTTCGAAGCATCACTATACACTTCAAACTCCTCACCTTCCACTGGTAAAGCCAAAATTGGCGCTGAAGTTAATCGATGTTTCAATTCTAAAAAGGATGACTCACACTCGTGATCCCAGTTAATCTTTGCATCCTTTTTCAGCAAATTAGTTAATGGTTTTGCAATCTTCGAAAAATCAAGAACGAATCGCCGATAATATCCTGCCAAACCCAAAAAGCTTCTTACTTCTGATTGATTGGTAGGTCTTGGCCAATCCAAGATTGCCGCCACTTTAGAAGGATCTACTGAGATACCCTTTCCAGAACAACATGCCCCAAGAAAGCAACCTCCTTCAACCAAAACTCGCATTTGGATAACTTGGCATATAACTTTCTTGCACGCAATATGTTTAATATTACATGCAAATGTTTTGCATGCGTCTTTTTATCTGGGGAATAGACCAAGATATCGTCAATAAATACCACCACAAACTGATCGAGGTATGGTTGAAAAATTCTATTCATCAACTCCATAAACGCAGCCGGGGCGTTAGTCAACCCAAAGGACATACCGTGAATTCATAATGCCCGTATCTAGTCCGAAAAGCTGTCTTCGGAATGTCATGCTCTGCAATCCTTAGCTGATGATATCCAGATCTCAAGTCAATCTTTGAGAATATAGTTGCACCTCTCAGTTGATCAAATAGATCATCAATCCTTGGAAGAGGATATTTGTTCTTCACCGTGACTTTGTTCAGTCCACGGTAGTCAATACATAACCTCAAACTTCCATCCTTCTTTTTCACAAATAAAACTGGAGCTCCCCAAGGCGATGTACTAGGCCGAATGTAACCCTTATCTAGCAATTCCTGTAGTTGCAATTTAAGTTCAGCTAGTTCTAAAGGTGCCATCCGGTATGGAGCCCTTGATACTGGCTCAGCACCCGGCACAATATCAATAGCAAAATCCACCTCACGAGCTGGTGGCATACCCGGAATGTCATCAGGAAATACATCAGGAAAATTTCGGACTACAAGAATATCTTGCAATCGCTGCTCCCCTTGCGTCAAATCTCTTACCTCACACAGATATACTGGAAACCCCTTACGAATAAATGATTGAAATGATAGGGATGAAATTACCTTCATAGAAGGTTGTCTGGCAGATCCTGCATAATTCACCTGTTCGCCCATCGCTCCAACCAGCGAAATTGATCTTTTTCGACAATCAAATTGAGCTTGATATGCCACTAACCAATCCATCCCCAATATTACATCGAACTCGGATAGCTTGATGCCCAACAAGTTAGTAACAAAATCAACCCCTTCAATACTAACCGGAATCTGCATATAAAGCTCTCGGCATTCCAGCACTTCTCCTGATGGAAGTAAAACTTCCACTACCACTTCTACTGATGAATTCAGACCCAATCGTCTAACTAGACGCTTAGATATGAACGAGAACGTTGCACCCGAATCGAATAACACAAGAGCAGGAAAACCGCAAACCAGAAATCTACCCGTTAAAACCTCACCTGGATGATAATCAGCTTCTGCTTGGGTAAGAACATTTATTCGTCCACGCTGGTCAGGTCCTCTGCCTGGCTGCCTAGATGACGAACGTGACTGACTTCGTCCCTCTCGCCAAGATGATCCTAATCCTCTCCCTTGTGACTGCGAAGACGGCGGCTGCCATGGCCTAAACCTCGGTTATGGAAACTCCCTTGCAGTTACCACACTTGGACATAACCTGGCAATGTGACCACTACCACCACATTTAAAACATGTCAATGGAACTTTATCACAACGAGTACCTGGGTGGTTTGTTCCACAACGCCGACAAACAGCCCCCGATTGCTGAGACCTCTCCTGACTCGGTTCATTAATCGAAATCCCCTTATACGATGGCCCAGACCTGAACATTTGCCACCATTTCTTTTTACCCTTGGGCTCATCCTCCACTTTAGCTTTTCCCTTATCTCGAACCTGATGTTGATAACCTATTTCCTTCTCACTCTCCTTTTGTCTGACTTCCTGCTTCTGATAAAATCGGGCAGCACGCTCGTAAGCCTCATACAATGAACTGATATCCAACACCGCTAAAGCTTCTTGAATTCTGTGTTGCAACCCGTCTACAAAATGGTCAATTCTGTCTCGCTCACAGGAAAAGTAGTCAGGAACATACATCTTCAACTCATTAAACTTCACAAAATAATCCTCAACTGACATCGAGCCCTGCTTTAAGTCCAGCAATTCTTGCTTCTTCGCTTTTCGAATATGCGACGGTATAAACCTAGCTTTTAACTTTGCTTTAAATTCATCCCAAGTCATATCCACCTGGTCTACACCTGCAGCTTCTTCACCTAACCACCACCGATTTGCTCGGCCTTCCAAGAAATAGGCTCCAATATTAACTCGTTGATCTGACGGAACCTGAACAACACGAAATATCTTTTCCATCTTTTCAACCCAAAACTCAAGGACTCCTGGCTCCACTGAACCAGAATATGTTGGTGGGTTATGCCGCATCACAGCATCAATGAAACTCCTCTGTTGAGGCATCATCGCGGCCATAAACTGCCGAAAGAAATCCTGGCTAGGTGCCTCTGTTGGTACATGCGCTGGCACAGGATACTGTGACTCATCAGACGAAGGATCAAACTCTGGGCCTTGAATAGCCCTACGTACACCACCACCTCGAGAATTCGACATACTGCCCCCAATTTTTCCTGATTCAATATCAATTCAGCACACAGCTAAACCAAGCATAACAATAAAAGATAGATCACATTAACATGAATGCACCCGCAAAACCCAAACCTCACCAAACCAATTCAATATCATTATTATTTTCAAAACCTTTTTAATTCAAAGAGCCAAAATCTATCAAACCTAGGCTCTGATACCAACTTGTAACACCCCCAGTTGGCTCATACTGGAAATGCTACCGCCACACTGCATCATGAGGTCGTCACCTCCTACTTCGGGCCCCACAACACAGTGTTAAGGCTAAAATTAATTATATAAGCATTTTATTATTCCCAAAAAAAATAGTTTATAAATATTTACAAAAACATACTCCCAAAACGGGAGGTTTTTCTAGTTAGAATTTACATATAATACATCAGATACAGTTCACTCATTCAGCCCGTCTTTCTATCTCCCGAGACGTCCCCTGTCCCGGAGGTGCCATGCGTACCTGAATCAAATATTTTTCTTAAAAGCAGTCTAGAATTAAATCCATTTTAAGAACTAACATAAAATATGCCATGTCATGCTCGAAAATAGAGTTTAATTTCCGTCATTTGCAAAATAAATGCCATGCCATGCCCATACTGAAATAATGTAACAATAATGTCAAAATCGACAACTCATGCACATATACCCATATACATATGTCAAAGTGAGCAGCCGGAATAACCTCGGCTCCATAATAACAGCTCACTAGACTATCATCAATAAATAGCCGGAAAATCCTCGGCTCAAGGAAGGACCTGGTAAACCCATAATAATATAACGGTCACCCGGTCACTCCCATATACCCACCATACGACTCCCGCAATCAATACATGGATAGTCGAACGTTGTCGCCATTAACCACAAGACACCCCATAGTCTGTGATAGCGAAGATAGGACCCTCCTGTCTAGCCCTACCCCGTGTAACGTAGTAGAATCCGTGCAACCTGGAATCACCCGAAGGAAACCCGGAAACTCTACTCCTCCTCGCACGCCCTAACGGGATCGCGTTTGGAGTTTGGCATCTGATCCTAAACTACCGGTAGACCTCACTAGTAGCTACTCCAATGAGTGGAACAACACCGAACCCGAATGATTAGACCAAATACGTCTCAACTGCAATGGGTCTAATCCCTGAATGACCGTGCGACTAAGTCACCCAGTTGCCCGACTACTATCGTCCACTATCGCCAAAGTGTTACGGTACATCGGGGTCGAATATCCTAACCCCAGATGATGCCCTCGCCTAGCACTACCGCACACGGCGACTAAACGATAGATCCATAAAACATATCCGATAAATCGTGCAATGTGTGCAGCATGTCAATAGTGAATTTAATGAAAAGGGCTGGTGAGACGGCCCACCTATCCTCCTTTTTATAAATTCACCAACACGATCAAATACGTATATCAAATATCGTAAAACGAAGTTTCACACATGCATATACACACACACATATATACATATATAGATGCACTGACCAAATGATTCCACATAATATCATATCAATATCAGAATCAGAATCACATGCAACATAAATACCTAATTTCTTAAAATTAGATTTAATTCCCTACTGCTTACCTCCTACCGATACTTTCTGGATTTTATAACTTCACCCAAATCTCCTCCAACGTACACATGTCCCATTATTTACTCAAATCAGATGAGCTTTATGCTTATTCTCAGGAGCTACCTGCTTATTCAAAAGCTAATTTCTATAATTAACTCGTCGGGCTCCAAACTTTTCTATTTAGTAGAATATGATATTCTAGCTATAAAATCCTTCTACCTCATAATATTTATATTGCCCGATTATTAAATAAAAATACGCAAAGGTATGAACAAGCAGGCAGGTGCGATATACTGCCGTTTTTTTATTCGACTTGGATTGGTACGAAATTCTCAAAATATAATGTCGGCGCTACGAATAGGCTATTAGCTAAAGAAATTCATCGATTAAATAGCTAAATAGCCAATTTTGAATTTTTGAAGAATTTCTAATTTAATACTCCAATATCAAAATTCGTATTAAAATTTATAATCGGACTCTACGAATAGCAAGGAATACCATACCCAAGTCGGAATTGGAATCGGACGGCTAAATCTTTTTCTTTTTTTTTTTTTTTTTTTCCTCTCTTTCTCCTTCTTCTTCCTCCCTTCCTTCTCCTCCTTTGGTTCGTTGCTGCTGCTGCGTTGGATTCTTTCTTTCTTTTCATATTATATATATATATATTATATTATTATTATTATTAAACGTAATATATTATTATTATTATTAAACATTATATATTATTATTATATTATTATTGTTATTAACGATGATGATAAGGTTCTTATCATCATCTACTATATTATTATTATATATATATTATATTATATATTATATATTATATTTATATTTATATTTATTTTTAATTTTATCGATATTTATCCATTTAACAGTCTATTTAATTATAACTAATATACAAAATTGGAATATAATTTATCCCAAAATATTAGTTTCTTGATTCCATTACTATTGTCAAATATTTATTTGCTATAATAATATTATTTTATACATTCCGAAATCGGGGCATTACAATATAACTTACCGTAATAATAAAATTTTTAAATTAATGAAATAACTAGTTGATATTACGAGACATATTGGTCTACAACGTATTACTCATTTAAAAATTATAAAAAGATTGTGTAATATTATTTTAGACCCATATAGAGAGGATTATAAATCTCTATTCTTATAGAAAATTATGCACTAGTTTTAAGAGTATATATACATTTAAAAATGTATTATCCGTAAAAAAAAAAAATAGATATGTTTTAATTTAGTTAATTTGTTACATGAAATAATGCAATAAGTACACAATTAGTAGGATTTTGTACATCAAGCCACATTGATGGTACGTCGGAGCCATTCTGGAGTATTCGTATTTTTAGCCGAGTCATGCCCTATGCAAATATGCTCATGATCGAATGTTGTTATGTGTGCTACACTGTGGATTACTATATAATAGGTCTAAAAATTTTCAATTCGTGATAGCAATTTTGTACTCTAACAACCCAATATAATTTAACTTAGTTGTTTATGACTTATTTAGCCATTTAAAGTGGAAGTTGGACTATGATTTATACATATATCATATAAGTCATTTATGACTTATTTATCCATCTATAGTAAATATATTTTGTTTATTTTTTCATCCAATTCAAAGTATCGTAGGAACACTATCATAATGAATTCATCTCTGGTTACTGACAACAAGTGAATATTTTGAATAAAAAATGGTTGATTTTCCAAGCACAGGTTACCAGGACATATATACTCGTTACTGAAGCATATAACACTAGTATTATAAGTACATAAGATATGCATCAAGGTATGTATGCATTTGATTTAAGTATGTAAGTATGCGCTCCATGTACAAACATAAAAATTCAAGGTATGAATGATAGTTTCTCAGGCATTATCTGTGTAATAGCAGGTATCCTTAAATGAAGTTAATTTCAGAGAATCATTTGACGGACGAGCCAATTCACAAACTCAATGAGAGTACTTCCTCTCCCAGCTCCAATAGAAAAGTTTGAACATGGTACATTTACATTAGACAATTTATGTCATATTTTTCCATAGAAAGACCATAAAACATGTATAAATAACAACCAATATAATATAACTAAGTATTGTTTTATCTTGTTTATCAATACATAGTAAATATGTATTGTTTATTTTTACATATAGTTCTAGAATTCGCGAGAACACTAGAATGATGAATTCATTCATGATTACCAACAACAATTGAATGTTTTTAATTGCGAACACTATAATGATGAATTCATCCATTTATATTCAACAACTCATGCCATATTTTTCAATAGAAAGACAACAAAGCATATATGAATAACAACCAACATAATTTAACTAAGTATTTTTTGTCTTGTTTATCCATCTATAGTAAATATGTGTTGTTTACCTTTACATATAGTTCTAGGATTCGCGAGAAACTATAATGATGAATTCATCCATGGTTACTGACACAATTGAATGTTTCAAATTGAGAATGATCAGATTTCAAGCACAAGTTATCAGGCATAAACACTCGTTACTAGAGCAAATAAAATTGTATTATATGCAAGTAAAAACTACTTAAGGGTAGTTGATATTTAATGAAGGTATATAAATAATTAAATATGTGTTCTGGATACGAGCATTGAGAATCAAGGTATGATTGATGGTTGCTTAGGTAGTATTTATGTAATAGCAGGTATCTTTGAATCTGGTCGACTTCAGTCAATCCCTTGACGGATAAGATAATTAAGGAACTTGGTGAAAATATTTCTTCTATTAGCAATTCTTTACTTCATTGATGGTTGAGAGAAATGGCAGTGACTGGAAGAGCATAAACCTTCGCAGCATATGTATATAATTTTCTTTCTTAGTACACCATTAATGTACTTAAGTATCCGTGAATGCAGTTTTGTTCATTGCAAACATTATTTCAACCATTGCAAGGTCTTGTAATGAATTAGTTAATTCCAATTTAAAATTCTATGCATAACTTTTCTGGTTGGTTGTTATCTTCGTACAAGGATAACATTCCTAACAAATGGGTAAAATTTATATGAGCATATATATGTAGTTTGAAGGTATTTCGATCTAGTTAGACGGGTACATCGATCCGTTTTGGAGGTACACCGTATGCATTATTGCAATTCTAACCATGTGAACAATTAATCATACAATCATTTATGGCACAATTCATAGCATTACTCTAAACATTAAGTTTTACCAAATTCAACCTACAATTCAATCCATCTATCAATCTTAATACAATCTCATCAAATATGAGGCAAATCAAACCAATTTAACCAACAATTTCATTAGAAAATAACACATTAACCAAATCAAGTACAAATAACACAACCCAAATCAATCACAAATCCATCTAAATTCATTACGGATGTTCACTTACCCTGTGCTGCTCATAAGAGGC